AGCAAAGCTTTCTCATCATTCAAGGCCATATTCACATATCAAGGCCATATTTGAAGTGCTTACTTTTCCAGCAAGCCTCTCCTGTTACCCTGTCAGAAATGGCCACTTCTCTTTGTGAACTTCCAAGACCCACTGTTCTTCCCTCTGTATCAGGTGCATCTGGTCTTATATGATGTTTATGTTTATATCTTAGACCAAATTGTGAGCTCTCCAAGGGCTGAAATTAAGGCATTATTTTTTTTTCTTCTGTAAATAGTAAGTACTCAATAAATATTATTTGTTACATTGAATTGACTATCACCAAATTTCACTTCTAATTTATTATGATGTGTTTGGTCAGTGACGCTTTTCAGTGAAAAGAATAAAAACATGAGATGACATCCTTTTAAGTGAAAAGAATAAAAACTCTTTCTCCAAGAACTCCCAATTCTGCATTTACTGCTGCCCATCAACAATTCTGTTTAGATGACTTGCAACATATTTATTCATTCACTTAACATTTTTTGGTGAATGTTCTGAGTTTGACACTGTCCTAGGTATTAGAAGGCAAAGATAGATAAGACACTCAAAATAAATAAATAAGATAAAAACAGCATTGTTCCTAAGAGCTTTTTTCCCCCAGTGCTGGGGATGGAACACAGGCCCTGTCTGGGCTATACAAGCACTCTACCACTGAGCTACACCCCCACCCAAAGAGCTTGGGAGTTTTATGAAGGAAACAAAACCAGTTATAACACATTATGACAAGTGCAGCGAGGAAGGCCCAAGCAGGTGTTAGGGGAGAATGGAGGAGGAATGCTGGAGGTAAACTCATCTCTGCAAGACAGTGGCACAGTGGGAAGAACAAGGGGTGGGACAAGGTCTCAGCTTCCTATCTTCCCTCTGGCCAGTGGTTTAATTTTCCAGAGCCCTCTCTTCTTCTGGAGGCTGTGAATAATAAAGATCTTTTTAGCCAGGCCCACCTGTAATCCCCAGTGACTCAGGAGGCTAAGGCATGAGGATGGCAAATTCAAGGCCAGCCTCCTCACCTTAGCCAGATTCTTGTCTCCAAATAAAAAATAAAAGGGCTGGGACTGTAACTCAGTGGTTGCACACCTCTGGTTCACACACACACATATACACATGACCTAATATATTGTAGAAATTGTTGTAAAGGCAGTTGCACACACCTATAATCCCAGTTGCTCTGGAGGCAGAGGCAAGAGGATCCCAAGTTCAAGGCTAGCCTTAGCAATTTAGTGAGGCCCTAGGTAACTTAGGGAGACCCTGTCTCAAAATAAAATATATAAAGGGCTGGGGTTGTGGCTCAGTGGTAATGCACCTTTGGTTCAGTCCCTAGCACAACACACACACACACACACACACACACATACATGACTTTATATATTGTAGAAATTGCTGTAAATGTTGGGTGCGGTGGTGCATGCCTATAATCCCAGTGGTTCAGGAAGCTGAGGCAGGAGGATTGAGAGTTCAAAGCCAGCCTCAGCAACTTAATGAGGCCCTAAGCAATTTAGTGAGACCCTATCTCAAAATTAGTAATAAAAAGGGCTAGGGACTTGGCTCAGTGCTTAAGTACCCCTTAAGCACTGACTGACTGGTTTCAATCCCTGGTACAAAAAAAGAAAAAGAAATTGCTGTAAAGGACAAAAAATGTATTTCTACATAGCATATAACAAAGTTCTTAGAGAATATAATTCTGCTCATGTTTTTCAAAAAGAAAAGAATTAAATAATGTAGAATTTATAAAAGAAACTGCATATACTCTACTAGTAAACAAAAGTATACATTTGTACAGCAGTACTCCTGGACCACGCCCTCCTGCCAACTTTCCTGTTGCCCTCTAGTTCACCCCAGAGTCCCCTCTCCAAATCATAGTTGCTGCCTTCTTCATCCTTCACAGCACTGACACCAGTCCTGCCCATCTGCCATGTAACATCCTCACGAGCTGGTGGTGGTTCCGTTTCCTCTCCCTCTTATCACAGCCTCATGCAATCCTAGTCATAGCACCTCACACCTGGACGGTTTTTTGACAGAGCCACCTGCTGCTTGTATTCCTGTTCTGTTCTGTTTTTTCTAAAATTCAAGTGTCTATTCCTAAAAGATTGCTTTTCATATCATTCCTCTGCACAAATTCAATTTTCTCCTTATAGCTGAATGTCAAGTCCAAACTTTATTGCTTATTATTTAAGATTTTTTTAAAGTAATTTGGCTCTGTCTTATTTACCCAAACTTATCTGGTCTCGGCACAAACCAGTAATATTAACTGGTCTGGCTTTCTTCTGTCTCCTGAACAAATATGCACAAACCCAAACACACATAACTTATTTCCTCATTCATTGTGGCCTCTCCTAGTCCTTAAGTGGGTAGGATGGGAAGCAGCAGTCATAGATGGACAAGTAAGGTGCAGTTTTAGCATGGTGGGAGAGGTACCATTTCCTCATTAGGAATGGCCTCCCACACCTATCCATCCTTCAAGACCATGTCAGGGCATGCCTCCTATGGGAAGCCTTCTCTGATTCACTCATTATCTTATGCACATCTATAGCATATATCCCTAACCCTTCACTCTTTGTATTCCCATAAATCAGTGATTCTCAAGGTTGAGATACAAATGGGTTGGTCCCACCCCCCAGAGATTCTGACTCCCTGAGTCCAGAGAGTTTAACAGGCTCTGATGACAGGGATCTGCAGACTATCACTTGAGTATTACCTTCATTAAGTACTTATACTTCATTTCCTTCCTAAGGTCTTTATGGGCAGAAAATGGGTCTTCCATCTCTTTGTGGATCAGCCCCCAAACATAGAGAATGCTCTCCAAATTGTACTTTTGCTCGTTCACAGTGCTCTGCTGTCCATATTCTCATTTGTTGCTTACAACAGCCCCACAGGTAGGGAGAAAGCTCATCCTCACAGATTGCTATGAAGATCAAAGTTGCCACTGAGCAAACTGGCTGGCTTAGGCTCAGGTTAGGAATCACAGAGTAATCCAGAGCTGCTTTACTGAGGAATCTCTGGCACAGCTCCTTGGGCTGGTGTGACTGACTCCCAGCCCACTTTTGTAGCTTCTAGCAAAGAGCAAGAAGGATCTGACAAGCATTGAGCAATTATTCTCTGCCAAGAGCTGGGCTGGGGGATGTATACATTGACTCTGGAGACCAGGGAAGTATAGTAACTGGTCCCCCAGTTTCACACCTGTAAAATATGGAGGGTCAAGTTTTCATGCCTCATTGTGTAGCATATCATAGAAGCGGAAGAGGTGGTCAGGCCAGTTAAGGAGAAAGTGAGGCAATATTTTCTGGAGGTCAAATATGTGTCCAGATACATTGTTCTAGGTGTTTCTATCTACAGTCTCATTTAATCCTCACAATCATCTTGCAAAAGAAATCTCATTTCACTTATTTTAAAGACAAGCCATTGGCCTCAGTGAGGTTATATAATTTGTCCAAGGCCATGTAGCTGGGAAAAGGGAAAGCTGTGGGTAGTAGATAGAGCGGGGATTCCTTGTCTATCTGACCCCAAACCTCTTGTTGGTTCAGCAGCATAGCCTGCTCCATGCTCCACATGCCTCCTGCTTCCTGACAATGCCTAGCATTTTGTTTGCTTATGCTTTTAGGGCCTAGATTTAGGCACTGTCCTGGTCTCCACTCACAGATTTGAGACTACTTCTGGAGAAGTTTTGGTGCATAGGAAAGGGTGGGGCGGGGGGTAAACGGGGGAGACCAGAATCTTGAATTCTGGAAGGTAGGACTGTTGGCACAGACTTAGGAAGGCTGGCTTCTGTCAAGTATTTGGAAGGTGAGGGTCCACAGTGCTCCTAGGTCCAGCATCTGAGTTCAGGGAAGCATGGTTGTCTCTTCCCTCAACCCACACCCACCTTTCCACACCCACCATGGATAGGCTTCCCAGACATGGACATGACACAGATCCAGGGGTGGCTCACAAAGATGTGCGGGATCAGATTCAAGGTGACACACACCAGCATATGCAGAACCATATCAATGTCCATGTCCAGACTCATTCACCCACAGAGGAGGCAGATGTACGCAGAGGTCAGCCAGGCACCCCACATGGAGAGCTGCTCAAGCCCACACTACCATGGCATGCACACTGGCTGGGAGGGCACAACCTCCACCAGCCACCTTGGAGGTACCTTGGCAATTTTCAGTTGGAATGGGGATGGGGACAGTGGGCAGTGTTTTCTCCATCATTGCCATGCCCCTCTTCTGTGAAAGAAATCCTCTTTGAACGGGCTCAGACTCCTTTTCTACCAGTTGTCCTTTCTCCAAAGCTCAGTTCAGCTCCCCTCTGGCCTGTGCTTAGAGGCTTGGGGTGGGGGAGGGGATGGAGTGCAGAGAGGAGAGAGAGTAGGATGGGGGAAGGGGACGGATGAAGGGGAGAAGGAAGGGACCCGGGGCAGGCAGGGGCCTGTTGGGGCTTCTAGGCTGCTAGGTCAGGAGGGCCCTCCTTTGCTGCTTTTGTGGCAACCCAGACCATGGGAGGAAGGGGCTGATCCAACTAGTGCCAGGATTCCTTGGTCCTCAAGGAAATGAAGGTCAGGGCCTGGAATTCCTGGGAATGCCAGGGGAGAGGAGGGTTGGGTGGCCAGCAGCCACAGTGGTGGAATTTGGAGACTCCTCCGACAGCGCCAGAGGGGGCTGACACCTGTTATAGCGTCCTTGTGGCCTGGCCCCTTCCCCAGGCCACGCTCCCCCACTGACATGCTTCTTTTGCCCCCAAATTCTTCCTGAGGGGTCATGTGTATGACTGTGAGTGAGGGAAGGGCAGTCAGCCCAGGGGTTCTGGGATGCCAGAAAGGGCAAAGAAGGCAGGAAAGGGGGGCACTGGGGATGACTTCTGCCAACAAGATCCCAGAGGAATGGTTTGGGAAGGGGTCCCTCCTCCTGAAGGACCAGCCCATCTTAGCAGGGGTCAGCCTGCTGCATTCCCGCCCGCCTGCTGTGCAGCAAGGAGGGCTGCCGCCAGCCCGATCACCTTACCGTTTGTGGGGGGCTTCCCACTGTCATCTCCACATAGTAGCCCTGGCCCGACTTGCCCCTCAGGTTGTCCACCATCTCCACAAAACTGCCCCTCCGGCCAGGCTCCTCTGGTTTCTCGTAGGTCTCCCGAGGCAGCCGCAGCCCCAGGGGGGCCCCTGCCAGGCCGCTGCGCAGGGGCAGCCGGATGCCAAGCTGGGTGCCATGAGCAGGCAGCACCCCTGAGCCCACCCACAGCAGGAGCCAGGGCAGGGTTGGGGCCATGGTGGGCCCGGACCTCCTGGGCTCCCTCAGGCCCACGTCTGTCCAAGTTGCCTGCTCCCAAATCTGGGTGGTGGCGGTGGCTTCTCTCAGGAGAGGGGGCTTGGAGGCATCAGGACTCCAGTGCCTGTAGGCCTCTCAACCAGTCCCCTGGTCCAGGTGATGGTCGGCGAGCAGCAGAAATCTGCAGAGCACAAGAGGGGAACGACTGGGCTCCAGGACCCAGCTACATCTGGACGGCGGCAGACAGCCTCAGCAGTGGGCTTGGGCCCCTCAGGGGGCTGGGAGGGGCGGGCATGGCAGGTTGGCGCCGACTGCTGTCCTGGTCCTTCTGGTGAAGTCGGCGGTGTTGGTAGGGGCAGGGGCTCCGGGCTCCTGCACTGCGTTAGCTGCTCAGGCCACCATAATCCAGCTCCTATCTCCCAGCTCCTAGGCAGGCTGGAGAGGCGGAAAGACTTGTGGCGGCGGCTGTCAAAGCCAAAGGGTTTTCGCTTTTCCCTGGGATCGCTGGGAAGTGTAGTCTTTCCATGGCAGGCAGCCCAGCTTCCGGGGATGGAAAGGGGTCTGGTATGCCCTCTGCCGAGGTGGAGTACACCTTGCAGCACCCTGGGGGGGAAGAGTTTCCCCAGCCCTGGCAGGGCGGGCAGGGCGATGCAGTTACAGTGATGGCATACCTCTCACTTGTCATTACTTCTTTCAGCATTGATTGATCACCCACTGTATGCCAACCACACTGCCAGGTTACTGGTGCTACAAAGTAAAATGAATACACACTACATTCTGTCCATTGGGCAGAATTAAGTGATTCCTGCCACAGAGGGGTTACAAACAAAGGATGTGGCATTAAGGAGTAGGACTTTAGGGGACATCTAAGGGAACTGGAAAGATTCAATGGAAGAAGATGGTATTTAATTTGAGCTTTAAAAATGGGTAGTGGGGGCTGTGGTTGTGTCTCAGTGGTAGAGCACTTGCCTAACATGTGCAAGGCCCTGGATTCGATCCTCAGCACCACATAAAAATAAATAAATAAAATAAAGGTATTGTGTCCAACTACAACTAAAAAATAAATATTTTTTTTTAAAAAAAATGCATAGTATTTCTAGAACAGAGACTAGGGGAACAAGATTAAAGGAATGGAGGGGTGTGCTAGGCAGCAAACCACACAAGAAGGGTTCAAGGGGAATGAAGAGTGTCTGTTTTCACCAGAGTCTGCAATCACTAGGCAATTAAGAGCTAGTCAGGTCTTCTCTATCTGAATCTGTGCCTTTGATGCTCTTGGGGTACAAATCCTTATGATCCCCTGATTCATGCACTGTCAGCCAGTTAGGCTGAGGATGAATGGCTGCAGAGAGCTTTGAAGTGTTATAACTCCAAGAAGCATCAACATATTAATTGCTAAGTGTTTAAAACAAAGAGCTGTAGGGCTCTAATTACTTAAAATAGAAATGATATATGATTATGTCATCATGATATTTATCAGAAGTAAAAAGCCCTTGTTAAAATTCACTAGTCATTCTGATGAAAAAAAAACTAAAGGGAAACTTTTAATAAGATAACAAATGGCTTGGGGTGTGACTCAGTGGCTCTGGGGTGGAGTGCTTGGCACGTGTGAGGCCCTGGGTTCAATCCCAACCCTGGAAGGGGAGGGGCATAAAGATAGTGAAAAATCATAGAAAACCTACTGTTATAGGCTAAAGTTATTCTCATAGAAGTCAGGCTTAGGAAAAGGAAGGTCATTATCACCACTCTTATTCCACAGAGTCTAGGTTGGTTTGGCCAATTCAATAAGATAAGAAAATTGAACAAGTGCTATAAATGCTGGAAAATAAAGGAATCATTATCTGCAGATTAGAAGATATGATGAAGAATACTAAACAATAAGGTGATTAGACACATAAAAATTGTAAAGGCTGAAGGCATGGCTCAGTGGTAGAGTGCTTGTCAGGCATGCATGAGTATCTGTTTTTGATTTTGAGCACCAGAGAAAAAAATCAAATCAATAGACCAACGAATGTATGGGAATTGTATATAAATAAAGATGAAATTAATATCAGAGGAAAAAGGATGCATTATTCAATAACTATGTTGGGACAATTGGTAATCCACTTGGAAGGAAAGAAAATAAAATCCATGTCTCATCTAAAAATAAATCCCTGGAGATCAAAAAGCTTTATATAATAAATAGAAATAAGGAAGAAATAGAAAAATATTTTCATAATCTTATGTTGAAGACAGCCTCTCTAACAAAACTCAGGAAAAAAACTGAATAGGTTTGACTACTTAAATATTTAAAACTTCTGTACAATCAGAAGCCCTTCAATACTGTTAGTATTCCAATTCTGGTTCTTCTATTTAGTAACCAGAAGACCACAGGCTTGTTAACCTTTCTGTGCTCAATTTTATCATTTGTAAAAACCTCTTAAAGTAAGAAATCAATGAGATAATCCATGTAAAGCTCAGAGAATGGTATCTGGCATGCTCCATAAAGGCTAGCTATTAGCAGTTTTACTACTACAACTACTCAGAAAGTGACATTTGCAAAGTTAAAAGATAAGCTACACATTAGGAAGCATTTGCTATAAACAGGGGGACAAAGGGTTAATTACAATACACAAAGAGCTTCCACAAACCAATAAACCCCCCAAACAATGTGATAGAAAAATGAACAAAGGGTGTGAAAGGTAATTCATAGAAGAGATTAAAATGGCAAATAACATGAAAAAGTTTGACTTTATTAATAATGTAAAAACACAAAACACTATTTAAGTACCATTTTCTTCCCTCCCTCTCAGATTGGCAATGTGTTGGTGCTAGTGAATGTGTTGGTAAATTACTGCATTTTTTGGAGGGTAATTTGGCAATGCTTATTAAAATGTAAAAAATACGAACTCTTTGAGCATTGTTATTTCTAGGACTCTAGTCCACAAAACAGGAATTTCAGCAGTGTGTACAATATCAAGACGTTGGAAACAAAGTAAATGATCATCAACAGGAGACCAAAAGAGGTGACTTTTATTCAATGACATCCTTAACAACCATTAAAAACAATGGCATATGTGACAGGGTGGCACATGCCTGTAATTCTAGTTCCTTGGGAGGTTAAAGCAAAATGTTCACAAGTTTGAGGTCAGCTGGGCAGTTTATCAAGACCTTGTCTTGAAATAAATAATAAAAAGGGCTGGAGGTGTAGCTCAGTGGTAGAGTGCCAGTTTGAGCAACCTAACAAGACACTGCCTCTGAAAAAAGGAAAGTGAGGCTAGGCATGGTGGCACATGACTGTAATCCCAGCGGTAAGGAGCCTGAGACAGGAGGATCTTGAGTTCAAAGCTTGACTCAGCAATGGTGAAGCTCTAAGCAACTCAATGAGACCCTGTCTCTAAATAAAATACAAAGTAGGGCTGGGGATGTGGCTCAGTGGTGGAGTACCCTTGACTTCAATCCCCGATACACCCCACACTCCAAAAAAAAAAAAAAAAAGTGGTAGGATTAATGAGTGTTTTCCTTTCTTTTCATGTTGAATGTCTTTTGTGAAGTCCAAATAAACAGTAAAAGAGAAAGAGAGAGAGAGAGAGAGAGAGAGAGAGAGAGAGAGAGAGAGAGAGAGAAAAGCTCTATCAGTGGAATTTCTGATGTGGGAGATTAGGGAACAATTCGTGAGACTCATCCCCTCATCTTTAAAAAGCACCTCTAAATGCTCACCTCTGACCTACAATGAATGAAATTCTCTCTTCTTCACTGATTTAGTATATTACTGATATTCCTATTGCTGTGTCATTTTTACTATCCCTCCATCCCCCAAAGACTTGCTTCTTTTCTGGGCTTGGTGGCACAGGCCTGTAATCCCAGTAACTCCAAAGATGGTGTCAGGAGGATCACAAGTTTGAGGCCAACCTCAGCAACTTAGTAGATCCTGTCTCAAAATAAAAAGCAAGAAGGGCTGAGGATGTAGCTCAGTACCAGTGTACCCCTGGGATCAATCCTCAGTACCACAAAACAAAAACAAAAACAACTTTCTTAATTATATTTACCTAAGGGCATTTGATACATTGGTTTGCATTTCTGAGTACAAACTTGTAGGAAAACCTGATAAAATGAATATGATACCCACAGAATCCCTTATTTTATTAGCTCTTCCCATGAGTTGGGAACCCAGATTAAGGTACCAAAGTGGTTTTTTTTTGGATACCAGCAGTTGACTTAGAGGTGCTTAGCTACCAAGCCCCGTCCTCAGCCCTTTTTCTATTTTTTAAAATTTGACACAGAGTCTCACTAAGTTGCCTGGGGTCTTGCTAAATTTGTTGAGGCTGGCTTTGAACTTGTGATCCTCCTGCCTCACCTTCCCCAGTTGAGATATAGGCATGTGCCACTGTGCCTGGCAAAATTTAAAGTGAAGTATTCTCGGGCTGGGGATGTGTCTCAAGCGGTAGCGTGCTTGCCTGGTATGCATGCGGCCCGGGTTCGATCCTCAGCACCACATACAAACAAAGATGTTGTGTCCGCCGAAAACAAAAAAATAAATATTAAAATTCTCTCTCAAAAAAAAATAGAATTGTAAAGTGAAGTATTTTGATGACAATCAAAATCAACTAGATTGATTGTAAGTTCATGCGTATAGGGAACTAGAAATGGTGTTTTTTTTTTTTTTTTAAAGGCTACATTAAAGTATTTTTTTAAATTTATTTTTTAAGTGTAGATGGACACAACACAATGCCTTTATTTTTATGTGGTACTGAGGATCGAACCCGGGTCCGGCTGGTGCTAGGCGAGTGCTCTACCGCTGAGCCACAATCCTAGCCCCAGAAATGGTGTTTTGAATCTTTGTTTTGTGCATGTCTGTGGTGAATTAGTTGGTGAGCCGTAGAGGTTCTTCCCAGGCTAGTCCCTTTGGCCTCTCAGTAAGACTTTTTTTTTTTTTTTTTAAATATTCTTTTAGTTGTAGATGGACATGATACCTTTATTTTACTTATTTATTTTATGTGGTGCTGAGGATTGTACCCAGTGCCTCACATGTGTGAGGCAATGCTCTGCCATTGAGCCACAACCCCAACCCCCTCAGTAAGACTTTTAAGGTGTGCGGAAAGGAAGAGAACCAATGCTTTTTCATCTGCAGTGAGGAAAAAGGAAGTTAAATATGAGAAATATATTCCAACTGTCTAGTTTGGGGTCTATAGGAACAACTATCCAAGTTCTTTACTGTGGACTAAGTGGTGCAGGGACTAGTTTCAAGAGATAGGAGGAACCAGATACATCTCTAGAATGTCCTCATCATCTCCTCTGCACCTCCTAATGTCTCTACTTTATGTTCTTGTTTTTCTATTGAAAGAATGACCAGAGCTGCTTTTGTCCCTCTTAACTTCTCTAGGATAGACTACATAGAGAGAAAGGAATATTTGCCCTCCATGTAAGTAAAACTAATTATATTAGTAGTGATTCTTCTGCCAGATAGTGAGTTTGCAGGGTCTACATATTTATTTATTTTTTAAAG